GTAATTGTGGAATGTGGCCAGCATATTGTTTAGCCAGTTTGTATGACAGCTTCCAGGCTTTGTGGTGATGCGCTGGTATTCTTTTAAAAAGATGCGCTTTTTTGTTAGGTGGATTCTGACTTCAGTCCCATTAGGGTGCTAAACTCAGACATGGGAATAATTAAAAAAAAAAAAACCCAAAAAACAAGAAAATGTTATGTAACAGTTGCAGTTCCAGCATCTTTCATTAGGAAACTTCTGTTGGGAAGACTGTCACTTTCCCGTTCTATGGAACATTTGATCATTAATTTTTCCCACAGGCCCGGAGCAGTGAGCCATTCCAGAAGTAGTATCAGTAAGGTTCCTGTAGGATTTCTTTGTTTATCAAAATGTGTTTTGAAAACAACAGTAAGTATGGTAAAAATAAACCATTGGTCAGGTTGTCTGGTTTATGACTTTGCAGCTAGTCTAGGAAGTAAAATTTTTCTCATGTTTTATCTTAATGCTCAATTTCTTTTTGCCGCTGCTGTTGTCTCACTACTGAAGTGCCTCACTGGGAAACTATAGGGAGCTGTTTTTTCCACTAACATCCCTGAAAAAAATTCTGCACTTTTGCTGCTACTTTTCTCAGTGGAAGGCTGTCCCAGTGCTGGCTTTCCTGCATTTTCTTTACTTTGTTTTTGCATCAGCTTTCAACATGGGAAGGGTTTGTCCATAATCTCTGTGAAGCTGAATGAACTCTCCGAGAAGAGGCGTATGCTGAAATATTCAAGGTTTTAACAAATAAGGAGACTTATTTTGTCACCTGTATAAGTCAGAAATAGTCACAGTTCACACAAACATGCATGCTCATTATTCATTTAGATTTCAGCTTTATACAGACTTCATAACAAAGAATGTTTTTGCTAAGTATTTTAAAGAAAAGCAAATAAGATAGTGGATACTTATGGAAGTAATGGATTATTATTCTCACTGTCTATGACGTCATTTGGATATTAATAAGCCTTAAATGTTTCTTGCATCCACTTTGATAGTATAGTAGTCAAGACAAAAGTAGTACTGCATACTCTTCAGTACCTCATCTTGTTTTTAAAAATCCAGAGGGAAGTCTGATCTTGACAAAATGAACCTGCGATTACAATGAAAGATAGGAAGAAGGCAGATAAGAGTTTTATTCTTATTTCAGTTATATGCACTTCTTCTGTAAGTAGCATCCTCATCAATGTAAGAAAAGATCCCTTTCCTCTTGGTGACTAAAGCCACTTTGTAATAAAGCTACTGTATTTCAAATGCGGTGGTGGTAACAGACGCTCAGCACAGTGAGGTGGTTTGGAGAGGGGGAAGGAGAATTTCTGTAGTTTTTACTTAGTGCCACAACAAAGCAAAAACTAAAAAAAAACCTAATGAGAAACCACATAAAACACTGGTAAAGGATTGTCACTATTCCTCAGTTTCCTACTGTATGTTTGTGGACAATAATCTTTATTATGCTTTAGTGCTGGTATAGCAGTAGAACTAGATGAACATAAAGTGCTTCTGGGAAATCCAAGACTTCCTGTAATGAGTTTTTCTGGGTTTATTTCTCAGATGCAGTGTTACAAAGTCTTGTGTTTTCCTGGAGGTAGTCACCTGCAGGATGATGAAATGTGGCCCCGTATGTCTTGAGTAGTATAGTTAGTGACATTGCCCTCACCTGGGTTTTGTGAGTAGCATCACTTAGTGATCAGAGGCACTGGAATTCTTGCCCCTATACTAAATTCAAAATCTCTTAAAAGAAAGGAACACATGCCTCACTGTGGCGCTCGTCTTGGCTTTCTGCTTACAGCTTTTGGGTGGTCTTCAGTTTCAGGGTCCAGTAAAAACATATGAAGCAGGTTTCAATCCCTTTTCTTAGGGCCATGCAAGTTGCAGAATACGCAGTAGCCAAGGGTGTGTTTAACACTTTGACTCTTATTTTAAAGATCGCTTTCTCTTCCTTTTTTCTTCCACCCCCACCCCCTCTTCTGAGAGAAGAAAGTCACTGAGCAGGTGGAGGTTTTTTTCTCCTCTCAAGGGCTCTGTTTCATTGGGTTGAAAAGAACCTGTCTATTTACAGAAGCCTTAGACAACTCTTCACCAGGTCACATCTGGAAGATTCCTTTTAAAGCCATAAATCTTTGGTTGCCATTCTTTGGTACAAGGCTGCACTTTTTGATTACACATTAGTATTTTTAGTCATGATTTTACTGAGACAGAAACATCATGTTAGTTTCAGCTTTATTCTTTTGTGCAAATAAAATGTTACTCTCTTTATGAGGCAGGTTGATTGTCTGCAAAAACCAAAAATTATTCTGCCCAAACCACATCTTCACCTGGACGAACCAATTCAAAATAAAAACTGAGGTATATTTCTTGTCCCTGATACATCATCTTCATTTTGAGAGAAATAAAATATTAATTTGGTTCTATCTACGTACACCAATAAGGGTTGTTTCAGTCTCGACCTTTTCTATGTGCTGGATCATCTACTACTTACAAGATGGCCTTTTCAATGTTTGTCACTGCCTCCATTGCCTCGTTAAGTGCGTGTTGGCCTACCACTGGGATTCTACCTGGCAGCCAGTTCCCAGTGGCATTCCTCAGACTTACACCAGGGCATCATCCTTTCTGATGCCTTGGATGATGGGTTGGAGTGAACCCTTACTGAGTTTGAGTGACACCAGTATGCTGGAGAGCAGGGCTACCTACCGTTCAAAGGAACTTCAGTAGACTGGAGGATTGCATTGACAGGAACTACCTGGAGGTTCAACAAAGAGAAATTCAAAGTCCTGCACCTGGGCCAGAATGACCCCTGTGCAACATAACTGGCTGGAGAACAGCTCTCCCAAAAAGGATTTGGAGCCCTGGACAAGAGGTTGAACACAGGTCAACGGTGTGCCCTTATGGCAATGAAGTCAGAGCGAGCTAGCTTGCTTCATCCTGGAGAAGAGAAGACTAATGGAGGGTGGGGGTATGGAATTGCTATCTTCACCAGAGAGGAAGAAAACAGATGAGAGGCCCTATTTAAAGTTGCAACAAGAGAAATCTGGATGAAGTGATAGGAAAAAATATTCACTGTGAAGGTAGTAAAGCACTAGAACAGGGGCCCAGAGGAGTTGTGGAATCTCCATCCTTGGCGGTATTTGGAACTGGGCTGGACATGGGCCCTCAGTAAGCTGATCTAACTTTGAAGTCAGCTCTGCTTTGAGCACAGAGTTGGACCAGAGACCTCCGAAGGTCCGTTCCAGCAGGAATTACTCCGTGACGTTGTGCCCCTTCTCTCACTAATCATTTTTCTTCTGAGTACTATCCAAATATTGCTGAGTTCCTTTCCAAATGTCCTCTTTCTGTCTCTGGAAATAGCTGTGCATTTTTATAGAATTATAGTCTGAGACGCAGATATATTTTTAACAGATATGTACCTAACTAGTAGTACCTTCGTGTATTTCTGCTGAGAAAATTTTGGATACAATACAAGCACAGAAACGTCAGGTTCTACATAATGTATTATGTAAGTTAATGAAGTGCATGGGTGTGAAGGGTTTTCCCTCTAAATCACAGCTGAAAACATTTCCTCTAGTGATCTCACTTCTGGCTTAAGGCTTTCTTCTGCAGCTTAATTTCCCTCAGGTTTGTGTGATCCCATTTCTGTGTCTTGAGACCTTTAGTTCTGGAACCAATGCTTTAAACATCAGAAGCTTGTTGCTTTCAGAGGCAGAATAGACCTTTTTTGATCCAATATGGTAATTGTTGTGACTATAGCTGCTATATTTTATTTTTTGTGTGCAGATGGAATCTGGCAGGTTTTAATCGTATGCTTTTTAGAGGTTGATTAATCAAGTTCAGGAACTTCAAAAATACATTCCACCAATTATTAAGGAAAAAAAAAGTACTTGTGTGCTTTCCACCTCTGCATTTTAAGTATGTATTTTCTGCAGCTGAAATTTACTCTGTTTGCTCAGTGAAATTCTGCTGACTCTTATGGCACTGTAATAAATCTTTGGTCATCTAGGACATTAGGGCCCAATTTGATTTTACATTTGACACCAGAACTCTGTATTTCTATTTCAAACGCTCATACTCTTATCACCGTGTTTAAAATGATTTTTTCTTCGAGGCAGAGGTATGAGACAGACAATTAAACAATTGAGGATTCCATTCAACCGTATCTTTTACAGTCCAGTAAGTCTCCATTAAATGAAGACTGTAAAGAGCATGGCAGGCAAGAATACTTTATTTGGTTGCTGATAAAAATTACAGGGAAGATACTTGTTTTATGGGTACTTTCGTTCCCTTCTTTGGTAAATTTATGTCACCCTTCTACCTTCTGTCTATATAATCAGTGACACTGCATTGAATTCTTAGCTCTGGCTTTGGAGAAGAGCATTGCTCTTGGTGCCACTGCAAAGGCACCAAATCTTCCGGAGCATTGTTCCAAGTTGGACACCAATGTTACTCAGTTCTGCAGTTACTGGGAATTTATGATTTGGGGTTAGGCTGATCACTTATTTTGCAAGAGATACGTTTTTCTGCCTTCTCCTTTTTTTCTCACATCGTTCATTAAGAATAATTTCTTTTAAGAATTTGCAAATTCTCTTAAAGCACTGCAGGTCTGTTTGTTCAGGTCAAGGGTTTGTCAACATATTTTTAAATGAAAGAAATGTGTTTCTGTTCATAGGAGTTTGTAATTCATGCTTAAAAACAGAGTTCAGGAAAGTATATTATGTTGTGAGGGATTTATTAAATAAAGCATTGTAAATGTGAATGTGAATAAATGACCAAGTGTTAGTTTGATAAATAGACCATAAAGAACAGAAAAATAATCCATAAAGGAGAAAGATTTCTTTATAATAGTGACTGATTTTATATTCACTTTAGGGAGAGTGTTTTCTGTCTACAGAAAGTTGTACTGCTTGCAGTTGTCACTGAAGCAGGTAGCATATGCAGAATTACTGGCACGTATTTTCTCACTGTCTCTGCCTGCCCTTTTTTGTTTTATGTAGTCCACAGGAGAAACACCCACAACCCCAAAGCATACAAAGGACAACAGAGAGAGCTTCTTCCCAGTAACGCCAGCCACACTGCATCCTACCCCAGTGAATCCAGACACTGTGACTCCTGAAAATCTCCTGAGACTGAATGATTTGCATTCCAAATCCAAACCAGCCTCTTCCTCTTCATCCTCCTCCTCCTCAGCATCTTCAGTACCTCCATCCCAGGAGTCACACAGGGACACTGAGCATCTCCGGAGTCAAAATGTAGAGACTGCTCCCAGCATGAGTGATCTCACACGTGGTAAGTCTCAGGGAGACAACAATGATTTGGCCCTCTCTAATCGGTTTGCCGAGGCCACATGGTGAGTCAGTGCCTGAGTTCTGCTTCTGTCCCATATTATGATCACTAGACCACATTCAAAAGGCTACACAACCAGAGATTTTTGTCTTGGTCCTGAATTGGGCACATCTACACAATTAATATGTATTTTACTTAATAGGGTAGATTAAAAGAGTGACCACTGTCTATGTAACTTGCATGTGAAATCATGGAATAGCGGCCTAAAAATAGTTATATGTTTTAAATAGAGAATTTAAGTCTAGTAGCATAACCTCCCCCTCCCCTCCCCATTTGTTTTATTTTCTTCAAAGAGGTGAGGATCTAGTTCTTTAAAATACCTTAAATCTTTAAAAAAGTTAGAAATTATTGAAATTGAAATAAACTGGTGGACAGCCTACATCTGACTTACAAGTGCCTGATTAACATAATTAGATGCATAGCTATCACTTCCCTGTATATGTGTGTGGAGATACATAACACCATGAAAATTCCAAGCTTCTACACGGTTCATAACGTTAGTGTATTATCACTGTTACTTTTCACATTTGAGAAAAGAAGCATCTGGCAGGACTGGAATGTTGGAAATACATTATTTATAGCCCTAGTATGTTTATGTGCAAGGTTAGAGTACAGAAAAGGATTGAAGAAGCACAAACACAACAAATGTTATTTATTCTATAGCACGATCGTGTGATTTTAGGACTGTGTTATGTACTTGGTCCTATACAGTTTGTCTAGATGAGGAAAGAATTAAATGAGAATGCTGGTTGTTTTTTTTTTACTGCTGTCTCTGTCTCTACTGCTGTCATGGCAGGCTGGCTTGTTAGCAGTAGTCAAAATCACTGTGCAGGGCAGTACTGCTCCACTTTGGGGAATTAAGTAAGATTAGACCCTATTTCAGACTTGCCTCAAATGCCCAAAAGAGGTGGCTGTGCTTATTTGTGGGATATTGTGCATGTTAAGGTGGCAGAGCACCTGCCATAGCCTGTACTTTCTTGCAACCTTAGCAAGAACACTTTCTGAAAAAGCGTCTGCTGCTGCTTGTGCTCACTCCATCTGTTCACAAGCTTGGGCTCTAACATGCTCACAAAATGCCATAGACAAATTCATAGGAGCCCAGGTAAAGTTATGAATGAACCATATACGTAACAGGTATTGTGGAAAGTGACAGGTGAGGATACAGTGGAAATAGTGCCTGGATTTGTGAGACTTAATCGTGCATAATATTAATAATGAGTAGACTCTGATCTAGTCTGGAATGTTTTGTTAATCTGTTATTGTGATGTTCTGAAATTTTTATCTTTATACTTTTGTTATTTAATTTCTTTCCATATGTAATCATCCTTGGCATCCGAATGCACATAATCTTCTGAATTTGTCAGCAATGAAGAGCAAATTAGGGAGAAATCAGTTTTCCCAGTTTGCTAATCTCTGAGTACAGGACAAAACTGAAATTTAACATCCAATATTAGCAGTTGCATTATAATCATCTAATTTTCCTTTTTCACAAATCCAGGAAGAGATTGTCTTGGGAGGGGAAGAAAGGAAAGGGGAGTGATAAGGAAGAAATGGCTTAGTCAATGTGTAAATGACGTTTGTTATTGTCCTTATGAAACTAAGGAATGGAGTTGCGTGGTGTCATAAGATATCTTGGCAGGCTTGTTCAACAGGGAGTAGTTCGGGTTTGTGCCTAGACAACAGGGGGAAAAAAAAAAAAAAGAATCCTCTGTAAAGTTGCTCTACTCTTACTAAGGAGACTGGTAGGAATGACAGTGCAGATGAGAACCCACACATTCTTTTGGTTTTCAAACAAAACTCACAAGCATTTCTGATGTGCTTTCCTCTCTGCAATTTCGCAGGCCACATTGCAGTGACTGGAACATTTATTTTAATCTTTTGACTTCCTAGGCTTTGTTAGGGTTGTAAAGTTACATATTGTTCTTCTTTCGTGCTTTCTATACATCATCTTGGTTGAGGGAGATGGAAGGATTAGCTGCCAGAATTACACCCCTGAAACAGTGTCTGAAGATCAAGAGGCTCTCTCTGCAGAGCTCTTATGCCAGTGCTGAATGCATGGATTGTATCTGGCTTTCTGGCTCTCAGACCTACCTGACAGGTCATTTCTCTAGCTGAGACACACACCAATTACTGCTGTGTCCTTTCTTCTGCTTTTCTTTTTAATTCTCCTACCTCTGCATCCACCTCCTCTAAAATAATTCTGTTACAACCCTTTTTCATCTGCCTTCCATTAGCTCTGTTTCTGTAAAAACTCCTCCCATTTTTAGAGTAATCTGTTTTCATCTTTTTTCTTTCTTGTCACCTCCTGTACCTATCTGTTCATGTGAAAGTATTCCACATCAGAGAGTATTAGCTGCTATTGTTTTCTGTGACTTCACCCCGAAAAGGGAATGGCTTTCCAAGCAGTGTTGATGCTATGCCACTCATTTCTTTTGTAAATATTTTAGTGAGATTTTGTCTAGTACATGACTAACTGGTACAGAATACAGCGTGATGAAGTCCAGCAGCAAAGTAATGATAGCGGTAGTTTCAGCACAGGAGCTTCCTACATTTAGGCATAAATGTACATGGGACTATTGGCCTTTGTGGCTCAGCCTAAAATTTTCTGTGGGGAAACTAAAATAGGACAATTAAGATAAACCCTCTGCAGCCTGTCACGCTGTTCCAGTATTATACTGTTCTAAATTGCTGAAAAATCGTGACATTTTCTTCTTCTTCATTATCCTTATTCTAATAATGATTCTTATAAGGAGTGAACAGCAAAACATTCACATCTGAGTTTTGATACCAAAAGAAGATTTTTATACTTGGAATTATTTAAAGTTATGTGTTTTGCTTATAGCTAGCTATTTACCAAATTGGAATATAAAATCAGAGTAGAGGAGTAACACTTCCCCACACACACATTAAATTTTTGTCCATTTAAGGCCTGAGCATTTCAATATAAAGCCAGAGTCATGATATAGCTGTCCAAACTTAGAAATTGAGAGCTAAGGAAGACAATTCTTTCTGTATTGTGCAGGGAAGTTGCCCTCAATAAGCCACATGAATATCCTGTTATAATTTCAGATGTTTGTTGTCTAGGCATAACAGGGCAAGTAGAGGTGTCAATGTATGTCAACCTGTAGAACTTTTAGAAGCACAAGAAATAAATGGAAGTGAGGACAGTTGTGTGGAAGGGTAAGTAGCACTATTGCAATAGTGAGCAATGAAGTTAAATTGTTTATGTGTGTGTAGGCAGCAGCAGACTCCCTAAAAGACGGATGTTCAAAATAAAGAGGGGTTTGAAGTGGTAAGTCCTAAGAATTCGGTAATGATGTTGTAATATGGTGGTTCATCCTGTAGTCTTTTAACTGGGCGTCAGAGTCATAAGAGTACTTTTAGGTGTAAAGAGCATCTTTTCCAAGAAGTCTGTGGCTTAGTTTATTTTAACAACTGATAAATGACCTTAGGTTGATACTGAGTTCTCAGAAGACTGAGGCAATTTACATGAGGGAGAGAGAAATACTGCAAAGAATGTTAACTCTATAATTTTGCATTCGTAGCATCTGTCTTTGTATTAGAACAGTGCATGCCACAAGGGTTCACCTTGATTTCTTACGGTTTCTAGATATCCAGACATCAGTGGACATTCACAATACCTGTTTCTATCTGAGTGAAATAATGGAGATTGTAGGTTGTCATCTTGAGTTGAGTTTAGCCACATACTGATCTCGGTGTCTTCTGAGTTTGCTTGTCCTAAATTTCTAAAGACAAAACATGGATTTTAAGAGCCTGTAATTCAATGCACAGAAAACCTTCTGCTTACGCAAAATACCTGAAGTGTTTGGCCCTGTTGGCCATACCTTATTTTAACTATGGATTTCAATTCAGACTTTCAGGTACTTCTTAAATGACTGGAAGTAGTAACATTCAATTGCAATCAGTGTCTTACCTTTTTTTTTTCTGCTGAATTCAAAATCGTGCTTTCAAGCACAGAGTTGTTCTCAACAGATGGCTCCAAACAAGCTGAAACACAGAAAAGATTAGGCTGGCCAAGGACCTGTGGCCTCATGTGAACCTTCTTCATATTGTAGTTACCTGGCATATGAGGATCCTCTCTTAAATGCACATGTTCTTGTACTCTGTTTTCTTGTGTCACTTGTATGCAACTTCCTATCATTACTTTCTCCTTTGTTTCCTGCGTTGACTTATCCTGGTTTTCGGCAGCTGTCTTCCTCAGTTCCCAAGGCTGAATTCCTCCAAGGCTTTAAAAACTCTTTGTTAAATACTTGTAACCCCATGTCTTTTGTACCATCCTAGGATAGAAACTCATATCCACCTGTTAGTGACTGCGAAGTCACTAATAAAAATCAACCAGGCTGCCTTCAGCTAGCTCTGTGTTTGCTCTCTCTGATCTCTTGCTGCTTCAGCCTCCTTGGCATTGGTATTCTCACTTCCCCTTGTCTGATCGTTGCTTTTCATGAAGCTTTTTCTTTTTCACAATGGGTGCACTCTGAAAACAACTTCACTGCTGAATGTCAGCAGGAGGTTTCCTGTTTGTGAATGACTCTTAATTCCTCTTTGCCTAGTGCCTGGACAGTACCAGTCAGTCATGTCTTTTCCTCTTCCCTTTGGAATTACGCTGGTTTGCTTTCCTATCGCAACAAATGCATTCCAGAAGATTTTGTGAGTACACTTAAATGACTATTTCTGATCTTTGCTCTTCACATTTTTAAAGTTTTACTTCAATCCAGTGCTGTGCAGAAAATCCTTTGAAATTAAAACTGTCATTGTTTTTATGTACCCGTGTTAGATCAGTAAGAACAGATAGGACAGGAGCGGCAGCTTCCCAGCTGTGGCCTGTGAGGTGATGGTACGTAGCCAGGGGTTTGGTGTGGTCTGGGCAGGTTTGTGGTCCAAGAGGCTTTCTAACCCCTGCACCCTTCGATCCCCCCTGAAAA